AGCCTAAAGTTGAACACGAGAAGAGAAATTCCATATATACAAGCAACCATGTATTATTTTGTTTACTATATAAAACTCACACTGATAACGACTTTTTTATGATTTTCTGAAGATTTCCGAAGATTCTCCAAAAGTTGTCCGAAGGCCACACAAACGTTTCCGAACATTTGCCGAAAATTTCCGAAGATTAGCAAAGATTTACGACGCTAACCGAATATTGCCGAAGACTTTCGAGGAAGATCCGAAGATGTTTCGATCATACACCAAAAAATTTAGGTACAGTTTTGGACAAACACGATATCAGAGGGATCATCAGTGAGGTCATCATTGTACTATATTTTATCTCTAAGAACTTTTTTTTTTAGCTCTTTTGCTCTTGTAAAGCGCTTAGAACATATCTGGATAGGCGCTATAGAAATTTATATTATTTTTATTATTGTTATCATTATCATTATCATTATCATTATCATTACCATTACCATTACCATTACCATTACCATAACCATTATCATTATCATTATCATTATCATTATTATTATTATTATTATCTTCACTAGCGAAAATATGTGAAATACGCTACTTGGGTTCCGCATGTAGTTTCGTATGAGTTTTCCGAGTGGTGTATTTTCCATTAAAACACTGGTGTCTATTTAACAAATAGAGAAGCCTAAGCCGTGTATTACACTGTGATAAAACAAGACGGACATTTGAGAACACGAGGGAAATGTAGAAAACACTCGCCTGCGGCTCGTGTTTTCTACATTTCTCGAGTGTTCTCAAATGTCCGGACTAGATAGAGGTGATAGAAGTAATGTGACGAAAAACAATAAAACACGCTTTTTCTATGGGTTTTTGACCAATCAGAGCCCGCGCAGGGTCCTATCTATATTATAAATAATGATATTGAAATCATGTCAAACAGACCCATATTACTTGCCGTCACGAAAAAGCTAGAAGTCTATTGTTCTCAGTGTACGTTTTGATTGATTAGTTTCCTAGGTGGCCCGCTTCGAGAAGTTATGCCAACTTAAAGGAAATTGTTTTCCCTCAGAAAGAAATGATTTTATGCGGCTTGCCTTTCGGGTTAATGTTTCAGATGAAATCCGGGACTTATTTGTTGGGCTTAGAAATGCGAATACAGGCCAGATTACGGGCTTCTTTTTTTTCCCCTTCAGCTGCTTCACGGAAATGATTTTCCCCACCCTGTGCCCCTCTTTAAGTCTAGATTAGTTGGGGACAGAAATAGTGAAGTGCGTTTAATGGGTTTGCCATCGCTTTTGCTAAAACCGAATTTGGCTTTTTACATTTAGGCATTTCACATTTCATGTAAATTAGTTTAGTTGTTATCAAATAAACGACCACGAATATAAGCCAATTACGGTTTCTGTACATTACTTCCAGCAAACAGAGCTCAGGATTGGCAATGTACATTATCGGTTCATATAGGTTAAGCAAGAGAGAAGCTAAAAAAATATCGAAATTAACACCTGACTTTTAAATAAGTGACAAAAGTAATGTCTCTTTAAATCTCATTACATTTTCGCGACTGCTTTTTAAAACTTAAAATGAATGATATGAACTGCGGAAATACAATTAAAATGAAGATGGACTGACCCTCACAGTTGTATTGCAATTTATGGACTTGCAAGATTTCGGGGCTTAAACTTTGACGCCTCGAAATCTTTATCATTAACTGGCAATTCCTTAAATTGTAGAACAACTGCGGTGGTCACCACGACGGCATCTCTTTTTCATACTTACCACACCACCTTCTGCTTCTTACTAAGATTCTGGTTCATTTCCGGTTAACAGACCGGTATGTCGTTAGGTTACCCTTGTAGTTTACTGGTGTAGCCGCGAGAGCCGCGGTTGAGTGTCTTCTCTTTCCTTTTGAATAATCCCGATCAAGATTAACAGTCCAATTAAAATCAAACGCATCAAGGTACATCAAAAGAACCAATGAATATCCCAGAGTGGATTTATTGGTTCCTTTGAGGCACCATGACAAGAGTTATCTTCGGT